GATTCAACTTCATCAAACACAAGATAAAAACATCAAACACAGACTAAGAGAAGATATTTATGTAAGTAAATGAAAGACTAGTATCCATAAAATATAAGGAAATTTTACAAATTAATAAGGAAAGACAAACTGTTAAATTGAAAATGGGCAAAAGAAATAAAAACAAGCAAGTCACTGAAGAAACTGCAAAGAAACCTGAATCTTAAACCACAATAAACACTAATTCACATGCATCCAAGCGGCAAAGACTAGAACGTGTGGAAACATCAATAGCAGCAGACATTGTGGAGCAGCACGGAGCTCTCTCCAAAGCTGCAGGTGGGGAGGGGTATGCCTTTCCACCCCCTGGAGAGTGCCAGGTGATGTCAGGAAAGCAGCACCCAGCATGCCCTCTGGCCAGGCAACACGAGTAACCAGGAGGGGAAACCCTGGCATGTGTCCAAGAATATATATCACAGCATTATTTTTAATTCTTGCAGCATTGCTTCTAATAGTGGAAATCTGGAAAACATCTAGTACGTTTATACAATGAAATACTATATAGTAGCCCAGACAAATGGACTAGCGCTACTTCAGCCAGTGTGGATAAATCTCAAAAACATAATGTTGAATGAGAACAGCAAGCTATAGGGCACCAGGCTGACTCAGTCGGTTAAGCATCTGCCTTCCACTCAGATTGTGATCCCAGGATTCTGGGATCCAGCCCTGCGCCAGGCTCCCTGTTCAGCTCTCTCCCTGTTCTCCCTCTCTCTCTGCCCCTCCCCCCTGCTCCTGCTCTTTCTCAAATAAAATATTTGAAAAAAAAAAAAGAGAAAAAAGAAAACAGCAACTTACATAAGTACGAATTGATACCATTTATATAAAGTTTAAAAACAGTAAAAAAAAAAAAACCAAATACAATTTAGGGATATATATACACACACACACATATGTACATATACATACATCTATTTAAGTGTGTGTATGTGTGTGCATGCACACGTGTGTGTATTTGTAGTACAGACTGGACGGGATGACAAACATTAACTTTAAGGTAGAAAGAAACCGGGGGCGCCTGGGTGGCTCAGTGGGTTAAAGCCTCTGCCTTCGGCTCGGGTCATAATCCCAGGGTCCTGGGATGGAGCCCCACATCGGGCTTTCTGCTCAGCAGGGAGCCTGCTTCCCCACCCCCTCTGCCTGCCTCTCTGCCTACTTGTGATCTCTGTCATATGGATAAATAAAATCTTTAAAAAAAGAAAAGAAAGAAAGAAAGAAACCAACCAACTTGGGAAAAGAGCGGACAGGAGCTTTAAATGCACCCAAGTAACATTTAAGCTCTTAGAATGAATGATGGACACACACGTGTTCATTATATTGGTGCCATGCCTTTTTCACAGGGAGAGAGGCCTCTTGCTGAGCTTTGGGTTGGGGGAGGCGGTCAGATGATGCTTCCTGATGGACATATTCCCTGAGCTGCTGCCAGAAGAGCAGGCAATGACCAGGCCAAGAAGGTCAGGCTGCAGGAAGATGTGTTCAGGGATCAAGGGGCAGAAAAGGGACCTAAACAGAGGTAAAAAGAATAGCCTTAAGGCAAGGAAAATCATGAGGGGTCAAGGAATCACAATTTACATCAAAGCATTCACCATTATATCAAAAAATCTTAACTTGTCTCTAACTCAGTTAGATACCAAAAAAGCTAGTGCAAACATGCTAACAAGATAACAGACACAGAATTAGGAAAATGAAGAAACTAGGAGGGAGAGCACTCACCAAGGAGCCAAAGCTAAATCATACCTGGATCTCTAGACGTCCAAACAATATATTTTAAAGCTGTGACATTTTAGGAACTTTTAAAAGCTAACCTAGAAGAAGACTGAAGAGCCAGGATATTAAAGAATTTATAACAATACAATGGGTGAGGTCAGATATTTTGAATTATGAAACATGGGTGAATTCAGACCCAGAACCACTCAGTGCAAGTGGCACTGTGGGGACACGAGGACAGTGACAAAAACTAGCCTGTTGACACAGAATGTTTCTGGAGGGGCATCTGAAGTCACGACCAACAAAAAGGTATTAGGAGATGAAGATACGGTGAGAACGTGGCTCCTGGCAAGTGCGATGGAACAGAGAGGTCCTCTGCCCCTGCTCAGAAGCAGGCCTTTGTAAAAATATGATGATGGGTCCAAGAGAGACACACAAAACAAAGATGGACAGGCATGAACCCTAAAAGATCCAAGTCAAGGGAAGAGGAGAATTGAGGTTCTTGACCAGCTCCCAGCTAGGGTAGTGAACATGACTGTCCAGCTCAAGGAAGAGGCTGGGCCTACACTGTTAACACCTGCAATCCCAATGATGATCCCATACCATGTGACTTTGAGACACAGGAAGGCAGCTCAAGAGTGGCTCACTTGTCCAGGTTCTCACTCAGTAAGTACTTGGTGCCTACCAGGTGGGTTCCAGGTACAGAGCCAGGCCTGGGGGGGTAAGTCAACAAAAGAGGTAAAAAAGTCCCTGTTCTCATGGAACATACAATGTAGTGGGGTAAACAGAGGTCAATAGGCAGTTAAACCCCATGTAGTGACCATCAGGCAAGTACAGGGAACATCTAGGACGGCACTAGACTGAGGTTTGATAAAGCAAATACTGAACAATGAAGCACTCAATCCTAAGAGAACACAAAGAATGAGGGTTTTAGGTGGATGAAAATTACCAGATGGGGGCTTCTACTTTCACTCAGGATGGGCACAGTTGGAAAGAAAGTGCTCCCACTAACAAGGAAGGTAAGAAACACAACTCATAATGTAAAGCCCTAAAAATACACATATTCTTTGACTCAGGAATTCCATCTTTAGGAATCCTATAGAAATCATTAAAAAATGTTCCAAAAATATACATACAGGTATGTTTGTGGCATCTCTGTATAAAATAAGTACAACTGAAAACAATCTAAATGACCATCACCAGGGCCAGTCATCAAGGGGAGTATAAAGCAGCTGTTAAAAATGAAGATGTGGACTTCAAGTGGAAGGTAGTGGCAAAATGCATGCATTATGTTTATACCTTCTCCTTCCAAAAATTCATTTGAAATGATAGAAAATAAATAAATAAAACAAGAATGTCACTAAAAAGTGCTACCCATAAAACAGAGGAGTGCTACCCGTAAACCAGAGGTACTGGAGATTTCTGGAAGAGGATAAAACACAGCAAGACATTAATCTGGAAATGCGATAGAAAATACAAACTTACAATCCCGTACAGGCACCAGCAAGGACCTCACAAAGAGGGCGCTTTCGCAGTAGAACTCTGGAATTACTCTTTGATGAGAAGCAGCAGCAGCTAAGAGAAAGGGTGCAGCAGGCACCTGCCTTCAGAGGAGGCACCAGTGTTAGTCCTGCTCATGGTAAGCTGATAAAGACCACAGAAGAGGTCTCTAAAGTGGGGCGTCCAAAGAAAGACCTTGCTAAGATGGGTGAAAAGTCCAGAGAGCACAGGGCCCTGAGCGGGGCTGCAGCTCCTGTCATGTGTGAGCCCGCCCAGCCCCACACCACCACCTGCTGTGAGCACTGGATACCCCCACACGTAAAGGTCAGGTGAAGGCTGGAGAGACGCCATCCAGACCCATGACAGAGGACCCATGGGGTAGACAGATGTGTTGTGAAAGGGAAGGAAAGAGCACCAAAATGTTTTATTCTACACACATCCAAGGTATTTGAATTTATCACACATATACTCATATGTATATATTTTTATAGTGCAAATTTAAATAATTAATGTATCTAATTCATATATTTAAATAATTCAAATGTTTAAATCTAAATATAGATTCAAGTCAATATTAATGTATGATATCAAGACATCATAAATGAAATTGAAAAGTATAAAATTAAAATGGGGTTTTATTTTGGTAGAAAAACAGTATTTCTTTTTTTAAGATTTTATTTATTTATTTGACAGACAGAGATCACAAGTAGGCAGAGAAGCAGGCAGAGAGGGAGAGGAAGGGAAGCAGGCTCCCTGCTGAGCAGAGAGCCCGATGCGGGGCTCGATCCCAGGACCCTGAGACCATGACCTGAGCTGAAGGCAGAGGCTTAACCCACTGAGCCACCCAGGTGCCCCGAAAAACAGTATTTTATAAATATGAGTACTTAGCAAAAAGTCAACAAAGATAACCACAGTTAATTCTGCATGGTGGGATAAAAGGAGACTTTTACTAGTTTTTGTTTATTTGTTTGTTTACATTTCTATACTTGAGGAAGTGGTCTGCAATGAAAAATCAGTAATGATCATCTTTAATTAAAAAATATAAAGCCGGGACGCCTGGGTGGCTCAGTTGGTTGAGCAGCTGCCTTCGGCTCAGGTCATGATCCCAGCGTCCTGGGATCGAGTCCCGCATCGGGCTCCTTGCTCATCAGGGAGCCTGCTTCTCCCTCTGCCTCTGCCTGCCATTCTGTCTGCCTGTGCTTGCTCTCTCTCCCTCTCTCTCTCTGACAAATAAATAAATAAAGTCTTAAAATATATATATATATAAAGCCATTTAAAAGCTAATTGCTTTGAGTATTATTAGAGCTACATCATAAATTCAAGGGTATTACACTTTTTTCATCAGAGACTCCTGGAACAACAACAAAGAAATGGAGGAGGTCATCAGAGCATCAGACATCTCAACACATTTCTGGACCTCAGAAGCCTCCCGTCCAGTCCACGTTTGAAGATAAGCAAGGGGGAGTGGGAACAGGGTGTCCCTTGGGCCCTCACCCCCAGCAAGCATGACTCTCTGGATGGAAAGGACCCCTTACTAATTCAACACTTTGTGAAGGCAGGGAGCACATGTCTTGTTCCCTAACTCTGTTCCCCAAACACAGCAGGTGCTAAATGAGGATCAGCTGAATGGGTCAACAGAGCAAAACACACCCATCAACATGGGGCCTGCTCTCAGAAAGGGAAGGCAAATCCACAGATAGGCAGAAAGTCAGCTCTGAGGCACCAAAGCTGGCATCTGCCAAGGAGTGCTAACTTACCGGGTGCCGGGTTGAAAGTCTTCCAGTCACAGTTCCCGTCTGATTCCACGTAGAGGAAATGGAACCCTTTGTCAGTTAGAATGAATCAGTTTCAGTGTGGGCAATGCCGTGTGAAATCAAGAATACACAGACCCACGGGCCCTGCTCACAGTCTCCCTGCTCACAGTACACAGCACTCACTGCTCTCCTGCAGACGTCCACAAGCTGCTGGCCCAAAGCCCTCAACCCTGAGAGGCCCCTGGGCATCAGCCAACTGCTGGCCAACAAGGAGGGTCCCCCAACCCGGGCAGAAGCAGCAACAGGACATGCAGGGCTTTGGGTACCTTCAAGCCCCTGAGCATGGGGAGAGGAGGGCCATGTGCTGCGGGGACACCACATGGACTCCAGGCGGGAGTCTGCAGCCTAGACGGGGGCCCAGAGAGAAGGCCTCTGCTGGCAGCCTCTTCCTCCTGCTTCCCTGCACTGGGTGCGGGCAGAGGTGTGGTGACAGGTGTCACAGTGCCTGGGCAGCCCCAGGGCTCCCGCGTACGTGCAGCTCCAGGCCTGAAGGCATGATGCCGACTCAGGCTATAAAGAGACCCGCTAATAACAAATCACGGCTCACAGCTCAAGAATATTTGGTGATTTCATTGTTAACTAAAATTTCAGGAAATTGTATATGTCTCTGAGGCCCCATGGAAACCACATTCCTGAGCACAGGATCTCATTTAGCTCCATTACCTTTCTCATGCAAGCTAGTAATCCATCCACAAAGGCTGACTTGGTCTTGTGAACCTAGGTAACACAGACAAAAGTAATCACTTTCTTGTTTAAGCATTGAGCAGGAACCAGTGTCACAAACGTGTTTCACAGAGTGCTGGGCGTGTGCCGCTCACGTGTCCACTCCAATGACTCCAGGAGGCCCTGCAACAGCCTGGTGCGGGACCCAGAATTAAACAACAATGATGCACAGAAAAAGATGGCACCCCTACCCCCTTTTCTGGAATAATTCTGGAATCATTCTTCTCACAGAAATGTTGCAGAGATAAATGGAGCGTCGTTGTGGGTACCTGTCCTCCTGCGTCCCCTAGGGTGCCTTTAGTTCTCCTCTAGTCGTTTCGTCCCTTCAAGAGAGGGCTGTTTGGTGTCATGACCAAGCCCTGTCAGCTGCCACACCTCAGGAGAGCAGCAGGCCGCAGGTTCAGGGGATGGCAGACTGATGGTACAGGCGGCGGCCCAAGTTATGGCCGCAGCTCACCAACAGCAGAGAACACATGCAGGTGCATGGACAGAGGAAGCGCGGGCTGCTGAGGAAGAAGGGGGTGCGCCAGCGAACAAGGGCACCACCATGCTGAGAGAGGAGTGGGGAACCTCGCCAGGCCCAGGGCTGGGGAGCAGCCGGAGGCCCTCAAGAGGCTTCTGAACTCTGCTGGTGGAGTCTAGCCCACAGTGAAGCCACCTGATGATAACACACATCCCCTCCCCGCCTTCATCCATCCTCGTCCCCATGGGACCCGATGGCTCCAGCCGAGTGGGGTGCACAAGAGCAGCGCAGGTACCAAGTCACCTGAATGAGCTCTGTCCCCCTCGGAACACTGCCAGCGCTACTGCCATGATCACGGACTGATGGCTTTTGTCAGGGCCGGTGCCAGACGGCCCCCTCTCTCACCAACTCACTCACTCACAAAGGAAACTTACCCGTCTATATTCCAAAATTATCTTGGGTAATGGATGAAGGTCCTGCAGAGCACTTAACTGAAAAATGAGGATAAATGTCACCAATATAATTCCTTCATTTAATTTTAACGTTTTGAACACTTATTTTCGGCTGGAGAAAGTCCTAGTAATAAATGGTTGTATTGACCATATTTTCCAAAGTGAAGATTCATAATAAATGTAGTTTCCAAGTGTCTTAATCTAAATCCCTTATAAAATCACTGCCGTCCATATGGGAGCTAAAGGCCCTTAACACAGGCTTGGAACAGATTGCTTCCGAGATTAAATTCATGGAATCCAAATCCAGGATATGGAAAATACCACACAAGAGAATAAACTAAGAAAATACCTCCAAATGTGTAACTCAAGAGTTTAGGAACATCCAACGTTTCAATCACAGTTATCCGGGCATAATGTCAGGGAGGTAATCTCAGAATAGGATTACGGATTTTAACTAATTTTAAAAGGCCAAAATATGGGGCACCTGGGTGGCTCAATTGGTTGAGCAGGTGCCTTTGGCTCAAGTCATGATTCCAGGGTCCTGGGATCAGCACCGCATCGGGCTCCCTGCTCAGAGGAGAGCCTGCCTCTCCGCCTACTTCTGATCTCTCTCTATCTCTCTGTCAAAATAAATAAATAAAAATCTTTAAAAAAAAAAAAAAGGCCAAAATATTACATATAGGATGACTCAAGATCCTAAGAACATGATTTGTTCGATTACCAAAAAGTGAACACGCTGGGGTAAGGCCATGCACACAGAACACTCCAGGTGCCCTGTGCGTCCCACCCCTCCCCTGTAGGTAACCACCACCCTGACCTCCACCAGGAAGGCCACTTTCCCCAGCTTTCAAACTTCGTATCAAAGGAAGGGGATAGGCACTGTGTGTGGCTTTTGTTCAACATGGTGGTTTTAACATTCATCTGTGTTGTATGAAGCAGCATTTCATTTACTTGTACTCCTGTCTTCAACTGTGTGAATGTAGGACAACTAGATTTTATCCTTGATGGATACTAATAACTTGTTTACAGGCCATGATGACTAGTGCTGCTGTGAACATTCTGGAGCCTGGATTTTGGTTAACATAATGTCCATGGTTCTGCTGAGTAGAAACAGAGAGGAATGGAATCGCAGGGCCAACCGCAGCAGAGACACCACCAGCCAGTTCTCCCAAGTAAAGGCACCCGTCTGTACCCTGTCAGTATGGTGGGTGATCCAGTTGCCCCACATCTTTGCCAACACATGTCCCAATGTTAATGTTAGCCACTCTGGTAATTGTGTTGTGATAGTGCACAGTAGTTGTGTATGTATTTCCTCAATGACGACTGTAGTAGGACCATATTCACACACTCATTGACTAAGTAGGTATCTTCCCTCATTAAACCCCTGTTCATGTCTGTTGCCCATTTAAAGAATTGGTTTGTGTGTCTTTTTCCCCCCCCACGATTTGTAGGTATTTGTTATTCTGGACAGCAGTTTCTTCAGCCAATTATATTTACTGGAAATCTCTCTGCCCTCTGTGACTTTCTTATTTAATTGTTTAATGGCATCTCTTCATTAACAGAGATTCTAAACTCTACTCTTGTCCAATGTATCCATCTTTTCCTGCATGGGTAATGCATCCTGTATCCTGCTTAGGGACATTCACGCACCGAAGGGTCTTGAGGATGTTCCCTTATGGTATCTTCTATAGTCTTTGTTGTTTTTGCCTTTCATATTTAGATGTACAGCTCATTTGGAGTTTATTTTTGCGTATGCTGTGAAATAGGGCCATTTATGGAATGAGCCGTCCTTACTCACTGCTCTGCAGAGCCACCCTCTCAGAGATCGTGCCTATCATACGAGCGTGTGGACTCCCCACACTGGGTCCGCTGGTCTATTTGTTCATGCTCCTGTAGACACTACACTATGCTACTTAGTTCCTGGAAATCCCCATTGATTTAGGGTTAGTCTTGAGGTCCAATGGACTAAGTCCTCCAGTGGTGCTTTCTAAGATCATACTGGCTCTTAGTTTTTTGCATTTCTGTGGCAATTTTGGAATCAGCTTGCCAGCTTCTCCAAAAAAACTGCTGCTAAGATTGTTCTGAATCTAAGGGCGCCTGGGTGGCTCAGTGGGTTAAAGCCTCTGCCTTCGGCTTGGGTCACGCCTGGGATCGAGCCCCGCATTGGGCTCTCTGCTCAGCAGGGAGCCTGCTTCCCCCCTCTCTGCCTGCCTCCCCCCTCTCTGCCTGCCTCTCTGCCTGCTTGTGATAAATAAAATCTTAAAAAAAAAAAAAAAAGAAGAAGATTGTTCTGAATCTATAGACCAGGCTGGGGTAACTGAGGCCATACACTCATCTAACAGTGTAAGGCATAAAGTTGTATCCCGGTCTGTTTGAATAAAGACTGAGGACCCAAGGGTCTTGGCCGGTCACAGTTGTAAACCAGAGAGCCGGTGCTGGTGCCGTGGGAGTAGGCACTCCCCAGGGGGGCACCTGACCTCGGTGCGATCCAGAATTGCCGTTTACTTAGAAAAGTTATCCCCAGGGGCATGGAAGTACATGAAAACACTTAGCAAAGAAAACTGCTTAAGATGGACTAGCTCTCCTTATCTGGATACCTTACTCACAAAATAACTTTCCAACCACAGTCTCTCTGTATACCTCTACTTGAGCCATCTGAGAACGCTTGAAAGATATAAGTATTTGATCTCATCCAACGGTGGAGCAAGCCCTACCGGCGCTGGTTTGCGATCAGAGGCGGTTCTGCAGCCACGGACCGCCTAGGGAGCTTTATCACATGCTCCCTGTTGGCTCCTGACAGCACATTCTTCTCGGCTCCCTTCTCCCATGGCCACTCCGTAGTCTCTTGTGGGCGCCTCCTCTTTCCCTGACCTCTAAGTGTCAGTTTCACAGCATTCGGTTCTGTGGTTATCAATGTTGGCTGGCTTACGAGAAACAGCCGGGAGCTTCAAAAACATGCTTGGGCCTGGGCTGTCTGACCCACAGACATGATTCTGTGGTTCAGTCGTCAGCCTGGGCTTGAGTGTTTTTCCAAAGCTCTGTCCAGGGTAGGGGACTACCATCCCAGGGCAATTTTACTAAAAACTGGCTGACCACTTCCAGCACAAGACTTCTCATGGACCCAACTGCTCCCGTGACATCTCCGTGCCCATGTCTTGTGAACACCTCTGTCTTAATATGTCTGAGAGTGAATGCCTGACCGACACCCCACCTCCCACCCCTGCCCAGTAAACTGTTCCTCTCCTAGTTTTCCCTGGGTAGTGGCATTTTCTCTCTGCTCAGCTGCACAGCTAAGAAAACCAAGAGCTACCCCATAGTCTTCTGTTGACACTCATATGAACTCTCACTCACAGAGTTCCTTTCTGCTCCAGAAATTCTCTGGAAATTCGTCCACTGCTCCATCTTCACACCTGTCACCTGGACCACAGAGACTTCTGTCCCCACACTGCAGTGACAGCTTATTTTTTTAATAGTCATTTTCAGTATGTTGCATAATTTTTCATTTTTCCTTCGATGAATTTGTATTTCTTCATTTTTAAAAAGATTTATTAATCTGTGTGAGAGAGAGAGAGCACGTGTGCACAAGCAGAGGGGAGCAACAGGCAGAGGGAGAATCAGGCTCCCCTCAGAGCAGGGAGCCCCAAAGTGGGGCTCAATCCTAGGACCCTGGGATCATGAACTGAGCAGAAGGCAGGCAGGCGCTTAACCGCTGAGCCACCTAGGCATCCCCAATGACAGCCTATTAGCAAGACTCCTGCCTTGTATATACTGACTTTTCAGGACATAGCTCACATCTGTTAGGACACGCAGAATCCAAAGCCCTGACAACACCACATGCTGGCAAGGGTGTGAAGCCATAGGAACTCTCATCCACCTGGTGGGAAGGCAGAAGTGTAGTCACTTTGGGAAGTAGTTTGTCAGTTTCTTACAAAATTCAATATACTTTTGCCATACGATCCAGCAATCATGCTCCTTGGTATTTACCCAGAGGAGCTGAAAACTTCAGTCCACACAAAAACCTGTACACAGATGTTTAGAGCAGCTTTCTTCCTCACTGCCAAAATTTGGAAGCAACCAAGATGTCCTTCAGTAGGTGAATGGGTAATAACTGGGGTCCATTCAGATAATGGATCGTTGAAAAGAAATGAGCTATCAGGGGCGCCTGGGTAGCTCAGTGGGTTAAGCCCCTGCCTTCGGCTCAGGTCATGATCTCAGGGTCCTGGGATCGAGCCCCACATCAGGCTCCCTGCTCAGTGGGGAGCCTGCTTCCCCCTCTCTCTCTGCCTCTCTGCCTACTTGTGATCTCTGTCAAATAAAATAAAAATCTTAAAAAAAAAAAAAAAGAAAAAATGAGCTATCAACTAGGAAAAGACATGGAGAACTTGAAATGCACAAATCTGAGGGAAAGAAGTCAGTCTGAAAAGGCTGCACACTGTATGGGTTCCATCTACAGGACATTCTAGAAAAGGCAAAACTATGGGGACAGGAAAATATTGGGGCAGGGGTGGGGTGAAGGGGGAACATGTGGAGAACGAGGGTGTTTAGGGCAGTGAAGGTACTCTGCGTGATACCATAGTGGCAGACACCCATCATTACACATTTGTCCAAACCCATAGAATGTGCGACACAAAGGGTGACCCTGAAAATATACTATGGACTTTGGATGATGATGACTTGTCAGTGGAGGTTCACTGAATGTAACAAACGGTCTCAGTGGCGGGGGAGGGTGCTGACAGTGGGGGAGAGGGTGGAGGGGAGGGTGTGCTGGGGGTGGGAAGAAGGCAGTACATGAAACTTCTTTGTGCCTTCTGCTCAATATTGCTGTGAAATAAAATATAAGATTTAATAAAAATAAACGCCTAATAAAACCATATCTAAGATCATAGTTGTGCTCTTGCTTGAACTGTTTGAGGCTACACATTTCACCTGAAGTCCACATCCCTCCCCACAGGAAGGGGAACGGAAAGGATGAAGGAAAGAAGAGAGGAATCTTCATTTTGAATTTGGAACCATGTACATGTGCTCCCTAGTAAAAGTTCATCTTTTTTTAAAATGCACAAAGTAGTATGCTTTGGTCAGTTAAATAAAAGAGGTTAATATGATTTACCCGATCATGTCTTTGTAAAAAATCTACGAGAAAGCACACCAACACCAGAGGAGAGTTCCATCTCCTTAGTTGCCAGGTGCCTGGAAGAGCTAAGGAGCAGCAGAGGGAAGGGCAACACTGCCAGCTGGTGCCAGGATGGAGAATAAATCAGCCCGAGATCCTCAGCTCCGGGCCCCATGAGGCCAAGCATGCAGCTTTCCCAGCTACCGCTGCTGCTCCACCTTTCAGGCGGTGGCCCTCTGCCGTGTGGGTGTGAAATCCAGGCCCGAGTCTCCCTGGCAGGATGGGGCCTGCTCCAAGCGGTCCCTGAGCTCCGTGAGCGAACAGCAGACAACTATGCTGGCGCAGGCTGCTTGGCTCTGGAGAGGCGACAGACGGTCAATCTTGGGCTTGGATCTACGGAGCCTATAGCCTCGAGCGACAAGCCCACCAGGAGCTAAGGCAACTTTAGGCACAGGAAACTAGTCTGGGGGAAGACACAGGTCGTGTTGGGGGCCTTGCTGCTGTGTGGCCAGGGGAGGCCTCCCTGAAAGCCGCAGTTGAGGTGCCAACCAGAAGCCACTGCACAAACTCCAGAAGAGGCTGCAGGCTGGCACAGGGCCCGCGCGGAACCTGCGAAGAGCAGTGTGCTGCCCAGGGGCACTGGGAGCGAGGGGGCCCAAGAAGGCGCTATGGACACACTGGAGGGCCTGGACATGAATCTAGGGGTCACAGGAAGCCCCTGGAATGTACATTAGGGGAGGCTCTGCCTGGACTTGACACATAAACAGCAGGGGGAGAGCAGTTGGGAGGCGGCTGAGGGGGCCGTGCCGGGCTGTGAGTGGGAGGTGACTGAGGGGGTGGCTGCAAGGACTGACAGAGCCAACTCCAGACTGATGTTTGCAGGCAGAGACGGTAAGGCTGGCTGCAGGTGAGGCTGGAAGAAGATCCAGGGTGACTTGTAGGTTTCTGGATGAAGTAGCTGATAATTACAGCCAGGACTTGCTGGTTTCTGAGAGCTCATGTCAGGCATGGTCCTAAGGATTGCTTCACACACAGGCACACATACACACACTTGTTGAACACTCACAAGATTGCTATAGGGAAAGGACTGTTATTATCCCTCTTTTACAGGTCAGGACACTGAAGCACAGAGGAGTCAGCATGCCCTAGCCATGCAGGAGGATGTGGTGGCCAATGCCACTGTCCTTGCTCTGCCCCCTGCTGGCTCCCAAGGATGAGGAAGGATGAGGGGCCTCCACCGAGGTGGGGAAAGGGGCAAATTCAAACCCCTTTTGGGACACATCACTCTGCAGACGTCTGTGATGCACAGAAGAACTGCCCCCGGAACCCCGAGGGCCGCACATGGGGACCGTCAGAAGACACAGGGCTCCAGCAGGGCCGACATGGGCAGAGCGTGCAGGGCTGAACTGGCCATGTGCGTAGGGAGAGAGGCTGCGGCTAAGTCTGATGCTGAATGCGGCATGCAGAGCACAGGCTGCGCCCCCAGAGCTGGCTCTCACCGTAGCAACCCAGGTCCACTGCAGGGGCACCTGGGTCAGGATCTCGGGGTCCTGGGATCCAGCCCCACTTCCTGCTCCCTGCTTCACCCTCTGCCACTCCTATCCCCCCTAGTCATTCTCTCTGTCTCTTTCTCAAATGAATAAAAAAAAAAAAATCTTAAAAACAATAACAACAACAACAAAAACCAAGTCCACTTACTGATGCCCACTCTGCATGCTCTCATAAATCTTACTCACTGGATTCTGAACATCTATTTATACTCGTCCATTCTTTTTTTTTTTTTTTAACATATATCTTTTAAAGATCCATTGATTTAGCTTAAAGAACGAGCAGAAGAGGGAGAGGCAAAGAAACCCAAGCACATTCCTCCTGAGTGCAGAACCCGATTGGGGGCTTGATCCTACTACCCCAAGACCACGAATTGAGCCAAAATCAAAAGTCGAGGACTACTCAACCCACTAAGCCACCCAGTGCCACATACTCAGCCATTCCAACAGAGCAGACTCTCACTCCTCCCTGTTTATCAAACAGGCTCTTCTCAAGGGAAAGGTAGCTCGAATTTTCTAAAATAAATCTAGGGTGACGCCTGGGTGGCTCAGTCGCTTAAATGCCTGCCTTTGGCTCGGATCACGATCTCAGGATTCTGGATGAGTCCTGAAGCAGGCTCCCTGCTTCTCCTTCTGCCTGATGCTCCCCATGCTTGTGCTCTCTCTCTCTCTCTCTCTCTCTCTCTGACAAATAAATAAATAAATAAATAAATAATCTTTTTTTAAAAAAAGGAAAAACCTTCTACATCTATATTTTTTTAAAAAATAAATAAATCTAGAGGCACCTGGGTGGTTCAGTGGTTAAGCCTCTGCCTTCAGCTTGGGACTTGATCTCAGGGTCCTGGGATTGAGCCCCACATCGGGCTCTCTGCTCAGCGGGGAGCCTGCTTCCCCCTTTCTCTCTCTGTCTGAACTCTCTGCCTACTTGGGACCTCTGTCTGTTAAATAAATAAATAGGATCTTTAAAAAATAAATAAATAAATAAATCTAGGAAAGGAGTGGCAGCCTTTAACTTCTAAGAGGCTATGACTGGACTGACAACCATTTGTTTTCAGAACAAAATTCCACCTAATTGTCCTTTGCAGATGACGAAGTTGGTGGATTGCTTCCAGAAAACTGTACTTTTCCTCATTGTTCAAACTAGGAGGGCAGCCTTGAGGGGAGCACCTGCTGCACAGCCCACTGCAGGGGGACAGGCAGGCCTGAGGGTGACTCACACGTGGTAGAGGCATGCTACTGTCTCAAAAACAGAGGGGACAATTTTTGAACTTACCACGGCTTCTGACATGGATGGGAATTTCTGCAGCCCTGTTCTACGAAGAGTCTCCCTGGGACTCCGCAGGTGCAGTTTTAGCTTGCCGAAGAGGATCTTCAACAAAAGCAGGGACACGTGATGGACGGGTCTCAGCTTTGAGAGAAACTGAACATCACAGCCACAGAAGGCCCACCCAATTAGATGCTACAAACACTCAAATTCTGATCTCATACTGTTCTTGGATTTGCAGGCTTTGAAGGAATGAATCTCAATGTGAGAAAACATGAACAACTTATATACTTTCCAGATAATAAACATAAAATAATATTTATAAATTAAGACTAAATCTCTCTTTAACCCCTAAGAAGTATTTTTTTTAAAGGTTTTTAAATTTATCTATTTGATAGACAGAGACCACAAGAAGTCAGAGAGGCAGGCAGGGAGAGAGGAGGAAGCGGGCTCGCTGCTGAGCAGAGAGCCCGATGCGGGGCTCAATCCCAGGACCCTAAGACCACGACCCGAGCCGAAGGCAGAGGCTTTAACCCACTGAGCCACCTAGGCGCCCCAGAAGTATATTTTATAAAAAACAAAATTTTGCTTTACCTCTCGAAGCTGATTATTACTTGTTATAAGAAACCGCTCTCCTGCAACAAAATGGGCTTCTTGCTCCAGTTCCTTGAGACGAGACTGTGAATGTGATATAAAATCTTACTAATGGTTTTCACAATCTAAAATTATTTTATTTGCTCATCAAACGGTTCCCAACATAAGTTATTATAAGAATAAAAAATAGCCAAATGTTTACCAAAATGTATATTAAAAATATATCCTTTGATTCACAGTGGAAACGTCAGGCTCACAGAATCATCCTCTCCCAAACCTCAGGAAGCAAAATGAAAGAAGCAAAATAGGAAGTAACACACCAAAATAAGAGAAGAATGAATTCTCTAGGAATATTACTCCTAGAAAAGGGATCTAGCATCATACCACCAACTTGAAAGCATCAAAGTTATCCCACCGTAAAGGAGCTAGGACCATTGACCTTGTAGGTCCCTCCCACCCAGTGGAGAGAGTAGTCACAGGGGACACCAGGGACTATGCTCTGAACTACCACATCCAACTACACGGAACACAGCCTGGCTTGAGGTGAGGGAGGTATGAATGGTCCAAGTGAAAAACAATCTAAGCATGTCCTCTGCATCAGCTGACACAGCACAGGGTCGGGGGCAGAGCCGAATTTGTAAGCCCCCACCCCCTTGCCACTTCCATCAGAAGAAAAGTAGCAGGCAGCCAGGATTTAAAAACATAATTGTAAAAATGGAGCACCTGAGTGGCTCAGTGGGTTAAGCCTCTGCCTTCAGCTCATGTCATGATCTCAGGGTCCTGGGATCAAGTCCTGCACTGGGCTCTCTGCTCAGCGGGGAGCCTGATTCCTTCTCTCTCTCTGTCTGCCTCTCTGCCTACTTGTGATCTCTGCCTGTCAAATAAATAAATAAAATCTTAAAAAAATATATATAATTGTAAAAGAAAACAGAGCAGGGGTTAAACCAACCCACCCTGGTGAACTATCATTTGCATTCTCTCCTTCATCGGATGAGGGCAGCCTTGAGGCTGACATTTTGAAAGAAGTTACAAAGAGGGTCCAGAGAAGTTAGGAGCAGAATGAACCTGATACAAGAAAGGAGTATCTAGGTGAAAAGAAGCCAGAAACACGTGCCTCGGTTAAAGTATGCCAGAACTCGGTTGTCAAAGAAAGAAATGAGAAAAAGAAACCAAGGAGCAGAGCATTAAAGGACAGATAATGGATCCCTTCAGGAGTAAGCCATACCTTAGGGAACAAAAACTCCAGCAACAAACTGTGTGAGCTTCCAGTTAAAACGGCACAGTAAACTTGCACGATAATGCGCTCGTGTTCAGGCACGGGAAGAAATGGATAAATAAACAGAGAAAAACAAAAAGATAGTTTCTTAAAAGAAACAAAACAAAACACAAGCATCTCTTCAGAGCCGGAATAGATACACACTGCAAAGCAGCAGGCAGAACAAGGGGGAAGCCCAGTGGGGCTGTGGGGCCAGAGGCTGGAGGCCCCGTCAGGCCATGAAGCGGGCACGGCAAGCCCTCCGTCCAGAGAGGAAGCTGGGCCAGCTTGTATCAGTTACCTGCTGCCACATGACAGAGCACACTGGAGTGGATCAGCACCTTGGGTGGGGCTCAGCTAGGCGCAGGTGCTGGCTGCGTGGCCGCATGGGTAAATTCATTTCAAATTGTCACCCATTTAAAAGTTATGTTAACTGGTTTTTTCTTATTGATAGGAGTTCTCTATTGTAGTCTGCATAGGAGTCCTTTGTCATATGCATGAAAATACAATCAAAATCCCAACAGGATTTTTTTTTCAAGATTTTATTTATTTGTCAGAGAGAGAGAGCAAGCACAGGCAGACAGAATGGCAGGCAGAGGCAGAGGGAGAAGCAGGCTCGCCGCCAAGCAAGGAGCCCGATGTGGGACTCGATTCCAGGACACTGGGATCATGACCTGAGCCGAAGGCAGCTGCTTAACCAACTGAGCCACCCAGGCGTCCCCCAACAGGATTTTTTAAAAAGTAGATCATAGAATTTTATATGGCCAATGCAAAGAACTTAGAACTAGACAATACCATATAGAATAAACACAAAGATGGAAGACATACCATAGGGTATTAAGATGTATTATTACAAAGCTACCATAACTAAGGCAGGGGAGTATTAGCACAGGATAAACCAATAAACCCCATGAAACAAAACAGAGTCCAGAAAAAGATCCACATTACAAAATCAAACATACACTGAGACCAGCCTTGAAAATTCCCTAAGCAGACAAAACCCGTGTTGTCCTACAAGTAATGCTCCATTTAGTCTCTTCTGGGAGATCAGCAAGGCTAACTTGATCTGGGTTGTTTCTTGCTTGTGCCTCTGAAAATCCTAAGTGAATCTCAAATTGTGCTCCCCAAAATCCTACTGCAGTAGTCCACCACTGTGAAGAATAACCAGTCTTTGCCTCCACACCATATAAGGGGCTTATGACATCAGACCTCTGAGCCTCACTCCATGGCTTGTTTTGAGTGCTCCTGGTTTGTAAACTGTCTTTCTGATATGTGTACAATTAAGTTTTGCTAATTACTACTTCAGTGCTCCAGTGGTTTTACTTCTGCTTTTCTCTGAACTTTTGATGGTATTGATCTGACTTATGACACAAATGTTACTGTAATTCGGTGGGGGGAAACAATGGCACTATTAATAAACTGAAAAAAACAGAAATCAACTTGGGGGGAAAATCTTAATGATACCTGATACCATATAGAAAAATTAATGTGAAATGGATGATATGCTTAAAATAATACAGTTTATAGAAGAAAACACAGAAGAATATCTTTACTAGAAGGCATACAAAAGAGATCAGCACATAAAAATTCTTAAACATTTGAAAAAATGGTTCACTGAACTTCATTAAAATAAAGAGATTCTGTTCACCAAAAGATACCACTATTAAGAGAGTGAAAAGACAAGCCATAGACACAGACTGAGCTGGAAAGTATTTTAGGTTCTATGGGCCACATATGCCTCCTGTCACGTATTCTTCTTTATCTTTGTTTATGTGTTTGTCTTTTAAAACTGTAACAACCACTCTTAACTTGTAGGCCATATGAAAATAGGCCACAGGATAGATTGGGTCCAGACTATTGTTTGCCAAACCCTGGACTGGGAGAAAGGATTTTCAATATATATTACAAAAGACAGAATTTATTACAAGGACTCACATACAGAATATATAAAGAACTCTTACAAATCAATATGAAAAAATCAGTTAACATAAATTTCAGAGTGAGTGAAATCTTTGCAAAATTGATAACAAAAGAGTACATCCAAAATACCACCATGGTATATGGTATACTTTCCATACCAACGTATGGAAAGGTCCTCAATATGATTAATCATCAGGAAAATGCAAACTAAATCCACAATGTAAATCCACACAATCCACTGTAAATATACAATGACAGACCCATCAGATCAAGTAAAGTGAGAAAGACTGGCAGTGTGCATGGTGAGGATGTAGCAAATGGAATTGGAATTCCAAGAAGTCTTTGGAAGTATCTATTACCACCTACACACACCCTATGTTCTAGCATTTCCACTTCCAGACATAAAATCAGGAGACAGGGGCACTCACATTTATGTACATGAATTTATGTACATGAATCACAGCCACTGTGATCACAGTGCTTACCGATGAGAAGGATGTAAGGAAGCTAAGACACGTTCTAAAATGGGTGTTACCCAGCAAGTCTCATTGGAACACACATCTGCTAAACTCACCAAACAAGTGAATCCCAAAGATGGAATGTGAATAAAAAAAGACAGAACCAAAGATCCCACATTGTGTGGTTCCATTTACATGAAGCTCAAAATCAATGAACAGAGTCAGATTAATGGCTCTCTCTGGGGGTACAGATGAGGAGGGGACAGGAAGAAGGAGCCTTCTGGGTGCTGGAAATATTCTATATCTTGTTCTGGGTGGAGTCACATTCATGTGTATGTGTGTAAAAACATGTCAAGCTGTGCACTTAAAATTTACACCAAGGAGATTCTGGAAAAAAGTAGGAAGCGCGTGTGAGAAACTGCCTCCCCACCTGGACCACAGCTGCAGGGGCAGAAACCATCTGATGCAATAACCATCCTGGACTCAGGAGTCTGTTGACGGCTTGCAACTTCCAGGCTTGGAAGGTAAATTACAGCTACTTTTGGTCAATTTCAGCTCTTAGCATGGTAGCAGCTACCCATCCCCATCTTCCACTACCAACCACACCGCAGGCAATCATCCACATGTTTCTGGAACAGTGTGCAGAAGCCAGGGTGGGCAAAAAGACCCTGTCCTGCAAAGAGCAGGGATCTGGGCTCTGACTGCCAATTTTAATAACACACCTGCGGACAAATAGGCAGGCAGCCATGGTTGTAGCCCCTCCCCACATTGTTGTAAGACCCTCCCTCTCCACCTGAACAGACTTCCAGGGGAATTAAAGGGCCAGTACTCTTTTGCATCTCCTTTGATTTTTTATTTTTCCTCCTTTTGAGAGCCAGAAATTAAAGTCAAGGATGTTCAAACACTACTGCTTATGCAGGGAAAATTAGAAGCAGACCATGTATACCCAGGAAAAATCTTAGGAAAAACATGAGAAGACCTTAAGCTTGCCCCTCAGGCTGATCTTCAGCACAGAGATACCCCATGGCAATAAAAAAACAAAAGCCAAAAACACTAACACAGAACAGCAAACCCTGTGATGGGGGGAGAATATGATTTCCAGAGCTACCACATTATCAGATTCAAATGTCCAATGTTCGATAAAAAATGTCAGGACACACAAAGAAAAGTACCACATTCAAAGGGAAAAACAAAACAAAACATCAACAGAAATTGTCCCTGAATAAGACCTAATGGCAGATTTACTAGACAAAGACATTAAAACAACTGTCTTAAAGATGCTCAAAGAACAGGAGGAGGATGTGAAGAAAGTTAAGAAAACAATGTGTGAGCAAAATGTAAATAATGACAAAGAGAGAAAAAAAACCTAAAAGGAAATAAAAAGAAATTTTGGAGCTGAAAAGTATATTAACTGAAATAGAAAATTTCTTTGGGTGGCTCAACAGCAGATT